GTTTGGCACTTCTTTTCAAAAATCAGTTTCTCAAAACGATTTGCCAGATTTGGACTCTTTGGTTCAGATTAAGAACCATGACAATTTGAGAGTCCGAGCTGTAGTGACCCCAAATGAACAGAACGGGACTTAATCCTCCCGGGGTGTTCGGGGACGTCTACAATAGCGAATCAGCCTTCTAGGAGTTGAAAACGAGGTTAGTCACAGCACCAGTTCTTGTACTACCATCAGGTAATGAAGAGTTTCATGTTTATAGTGATGCTTCGCATAAGGGCTTGGATTGTGTATTAATGCAAGGGGGTAAGGTCATAGCATATGCATCTCGTCAGTTGAAGCCACATGAAAAGAACTATCCTACCCATGATTTAGAACTAGCAGCCGTAGTGTTTGCTTTGAAGATTTGGCGTCACCATTTGTATGGAGCTTCTTGTCAGGTTTTTACAGATCATAAGAGTTTAAAGTACTTGTTCACTCAGAAAGAATTGAATAAGAGGCAGAGAAGATGGCTTGAGTTGTTGAAAGACTACGACATGCAAATTCAATATCACCCAAGTAAAGCTAATACCGTAGCCGACGCTTTGAGCAGAAAGATGATTGGAAATTTGGCCCGCCTAACCACGATTTCAGTGGAGCTGACTATTGTTGAGGAAGTAAAGACAAGACAGATGGAGGATGAATTCTTCAAGAAGGTAGCTGATGAGGTTATCACAAAGCCGAGATCAGGGTACACCATAGAAAATCAAGTGCTCAAGTTTGAAGGAAGATTGTGTGTGGCCGACGTCCCAGAGTTGAAAAGAAAAATTTTGCAGGAAGCTCATGGTTCCAAATTTGTTGTTTATCTAGGGAACACCAGGATGTATCAGGATGTAAAGCAAACGTTTTGGTGGCCGAATATGGAAGGAGAAATAGCCGAGTTTGTGTCCCAGTGTTTGCATTGTCAACAAGTGAAAGCAGAACATCAAAGGCCAGCAGGGCTTCTCCAACCTTTGCCGATTCCTGAGTGGAAATGGGAACACATCTCCATGGACTTCGTGGTTGGTTTGCCGAAGACACAAAAGGGTATGGATTCGATTTGGGTTATTGTGGATAGACTAACTAAGTCAGCACACTTCTTGCCTGTTAAGACCACCTTCAACGCCGATCAACTTGCTTTATTGTATGTGAATGAGATTGTTAGACTTCATGGAGTGCCGATGTCCATTGTGTCAGACTGAGATCCAAAGTTTGTTTCCAGATTTTGGCAGAGTCTACAAGGAGCTTTCGGAGCCGAGTTGAGGTTTAGCACAGCTTTTCATCCCCAGACTGATGGGCAAACAGAAAGGACAATTCAGACACTTGAAGATATGCTTAGACTATGTGTATTGGACCTCCAAGGAAGTTGGCGAGTACATTTGCCATTAGTGGAATTTACCTACAACAACAGTTATCAAGCTAGCATTGGCATGGCGCCGTATGAAGCATTGTATGGAAGGAAATGCAGATCGCCGATATGCTGGACCGAGGTAGGAGACAAAGCTATACTTGGTCCCGAGTTAATCCAAGTGACAACCGAGAAGATTAAGCTCGTTCAGCAAAGAATCAAAGCCGCTCAGAGTCGACATAAGAGTTATGCCGACCAAAGAAGAAGGGAGTTAGAATTTGAAGTCGGGGATCATGTATTCCTAAAGATTTCGCCGATAAAAGGAGTTACAAGATTCGGGAAGAAGGGTAAGTTAGCACCCCGTTACATCGGACCTTTTGAAGTTCTTGAGAAGGTTAACCTCGCCGCCTACAAACTTGCTTTGTCGCCAGAGTAGAGCCAAGTCCATAATGTGTTTCATATCTCGATGTTGAGAAAGTATATTCGGGATCCACTGCATGTGATCGACTATTTCGGGATTGTAGTTAATGAGGATTTAGGCTACGAAGAGAAGCCAATACGGATTATCGATAGGCAGGTGAAACAGTTGAGAAGCAAGTCGATACCAATGATGAAAGTTGAATGGAAGGAGCATTACGGTGAGGATGCTACATGGGAAATGGAAGAGGAAATGAAAGTCCGACATCCAGAATTGTTTTTGGAACAAGGTAACTCAAGTTTGGGGACCAAACTTCTTTAAGGGGGGTAGGATGTAACAACCCTCATTTCAACTTAGTCATATATTGGCCAGCATGCTCATGAGTAACAACAAATAGGACAATATAAAAAGCTCCTAACAATATCCAATTAGCAAAGAAAGGAAATGAAACTAAGTTATCAATAAGGGTACTAAATCCACTGTCTTTATTCATAAGCAACACAGAAAATACCATTTACAACACTAGCCATACTTACCAAAAGAAACAAGCCATAACAATACTTGTCCATGGAAACAAAGCATAGCTAATTATTGGGAAGGCCTAAAATATCTTGCGAACAGTATCAGAAATAAAATAATAACTAGAATACATGCCCTCCTCAATCAGATAGAACCACATTTGTCTCCAATATGGGTTGATGTAAAGAATAATAGCAAATCCAAACAAGAAAGCAATGTATGATCCGACAAAACTTGCTGAAAAAGCCACTAGATCAATATCATACCATTTCCCTTCAGTTTCGTCTGAGGATAATGTTATTGGCCAGTATGGCAAATTAACGATGGGTGTGCAATTTTTCTCCAATGGCGGTCCACAAAGAAATGGATTTCCCTCATAACTGCTTGCTTCAAAGGTCGCAAATTGTGCTTTCCTGTCTAATAGTTTACCTGATAAATTGTTGTGAGCCACAATAAACACTTCCAAAAAATTTAGACTGATTAGTTCTGTTGGGATGTTTCCGCTCAAATTGTTGTAAGAAAGGTCCAAACTTTCTATTTGAGTAAGGTTTGAGAAGGTCTTCGGGATGGGTCCAATCAAGAGATTGTGAGACAAGTTCAGTGCACGAACACTACTTAACTTCCCTATGCATGCCAAGCATTGATTTAAAGTTAGTTTTAGAAAGAGAAGATAGTGTTCATGTGTTCATGAAGAAAAGTCTTGTTTTGATCCGAAAGTTTGTATCAAGAACCAGGTTTTTGTGTTTGTCTTCTTAAGATCTTCAAGTATGGGCACCCAGGTCCATGTTTTCGAACTCATAGCATGAAATCTCCGATTTTTGTAATAACAAGCCATGATTTAAGCATGCATGTTCTTCATCTTCTTCATCTTCTTCATCTTCCTGTTCGTCATGTTCTTCAAAGGGAAACCTAAATTTTCCCGACTTCGCTTTTGAATGTGGCCGTCGGGACCACATCTCGGCGAGAAGGTGTGGGACCTCGGCCAAGACCTGGTTGGTGCCCAGCATGTTTTCCCGTGATGAGAAACAGTGGTTGTGTGGTTCGATTTAGTTTTGAAGAATGCCGGGATCATTGCATTCATGTAAAGCTTGTTTTGAGAATGCATTTCATATCCATCTTTGAGCATCTCTTCTTGTCTACTTGAAGTTCCTTCAGTAGTATTTGCCATGTGATTGTAGGTCTTTGATCTTTGCCTTGAGCCTACACCCGAAGAACTATGTGAGTGGTATTTTTAATAAAGCTATGTTATCATGTTTTGATAAGCTTTGCTCTTCTTTGTTTTGAAAAGTATTTGATCAAGTATGAATGATTATCCCTATTTTGTGTATCAAGTATTAGCTTTGTTTTGGATGACATTCTTGGAAAGTCCCTTGTGCTGAGGACTCTAAACTTTCGCAGTACAAGTCCTTTTCGTGTTAGAGGACTTTAAGCCTTTGTAACACAGGTCCTTTGTGCTAGAGGACTCTAAACTTTTGTTGCACTCTTGTTCTAGATATCTCCTTTGCCACCGACGGCCTTGTGCGGGTAGGTTTGTTTAATCGATTCCGGATCGATTATTCCCTTGTTTTGCCACTGACGGTTTACCGCATGGGTTTGTTGTTCGGTATGTCATCATTTTGTAATATGTTGATGTTAGTAAGCATCTCTTGGAACTTTGAAAGATTTGATGGATGATCTTGGTTCATCCTTTATTTGTATAAGTTATGATATTTATTGTTTTGAAAAGACTTCGGCTATTATTCCTGCAAACCTTTATTACTTGTACCATTCACTGAGTATCCAAGCTCACCCTCTTTATATATATATGTAGGTGATGAGCAGGACGGCGGCGACGCCTAGATGTGTTTTACAAGCTTGTTTTGGATTCATGTTATGTCGGCTCGATTAGTTTTTATGTCGGCTTGAGAAGCCTTTTGATCAAGATGTAATGTGTTTTTGTTTATTAATCAACCGATTCTAAAATCATATTATGTATGTCATTTCTTTTGATCTATGCACAGCTCTTTTGGACCACTTGGATTTTAATTTACTACTTCCGCATTTGTAAGCCCCTTATTTATACTCTGTGTGTGTGTGAATCCTCGTAAGAGGCCTTGGTAATCTCAAATTACCGGCCATCATGACACCATCCTACTAGGGGCGGTTTGGGGTCGTGACATTTCGTCTAAGGATGCTGTTTTTGGGGAGTATGGCAAGTCAACAATGGTTGTGCAATTGTTCTCCAATGGTGGTCCACAAAGAAATGGATTTCCCTCATAACGGCTCGCTTCAAAGGTCCCAAAATGTGCCTTCCTGTCCAATATTTTACCTGATAAATTGTTGTGAGCTACAATGAACACTGCCAAAAAATTTAGATTGATTAGATCTGTTGGGATGTTTCCGCTCAAATTGTTGTAAGAAAGGTCCAAACTTTCTATTTGAGTAAGGTTTGAGAAGGTCTTCAGGAAGGGTCCAATCAAGAGATTGTGAGACAAGTTCAGTGCACGAACACTACTTATATTCCCTAGTTCAAAAGGTATTTCACCTGTTAGTTTGTTACATGACAAATCCAATCCAGACATGAAGTTAAGGATGCTGCCAGCCCGGTAGGAGTTAGTCCTACTCTTAGTAATAAACTCAACTTCATCTACTTTATCATATGTGCCATCGGGGCCACCAATCTCAAAGACCATATCTAGATGTGGAAGTAGGACATTTTCATACACATAGAAGATATGCCTAGTGCTGTAAAATTCTAAAGGTGTTTGAACGAAAGCAAGATCAGTAGCCCCTATTGCCCCAAATGTGATATTACTTAAACAACTTGGTATAGACCCCGTAAAAGAGTTATTGGATAGATCCATCAAGCTTATCTTATTCAGTTGGCACAATTGTGTTGGAATGGAACCACCCAATTGGTTTCCTCTCAATATAAGAATGCTACGGTTGGCAAGTAACCTAATGGACAGGGGAATGCTGCCAGACAAGTTATTGTCACTGACATCCAATGTCACAAGTTTTAATAAATTAATAAGTGCTTCTGGAATGAATTTCGTAAAATGGTTCCCTTGCAAATGAACATGCACCACGACTCCCAAGTTTGGGTTTGAGCAAGAAGTAAGTGTTCCTAAAAATGAGTTATGAGAGATGTCCATGAACACATTTGGAATCAGTGCACATGGGAACTGACCATTAAATGCGTTATTTTGCATGATCAATGTTCTCAAACGTATCATGTTATTCATCGAATCTAGAATCTTACCTGACATGTTGTTGTTGCTAATATCCAACATAGAAAGTTTAGACAAATTGAAGACCACATTTGTCAGAGGCCCTGTGAACTGATTATCGTTCAATCGTAAATACTCTATCTGAGTCAATTTGAAGTCATCTGAAAACATTTGGCCATGAAAGAGTTATTCCGCAGACTTAAATATTCCAGTTTCGTATTGTTCACAAGTAGCCAGTTTGGGAATGAACCTTCCAAGTTGTTGTGGGAGAGATCAATAAAACTTAGTGTGTTTTGGTGAAGAAGAAACTTTGGAAAATCACCAGAGCGCTTGTTCAGATTACAGTTTGGTAGCACAAAGACCTTCAACTGAAACATGGGTAACCAATCTTTATATTTAGTTTCCACCTCAAATTTGTCATTATCACTTGTAATAGCAACCACCTCAAGCTTGGAATGGTTCACAAATGAGCTAAATGAGAATAATCCCTCAAAATGATTATGCCTAAGATTAATGTACTCTAGGGAATTGAGGCTGCCCAACAGAGATGATAAATGGTTTCCCATGAATTGGTTCCCAGAAACATCAAACAACCTGAGAGATGTCAAATTGCTTAGGCATGGAGGAAGGATTCCTTCAATGTGGTTATAGCTGAGGTCGAGCTCTTCAAGTTTCTTCAATTCACATAAACCTGCAAAAGCAACAAATTTATGTAATGCCCATCTCACTGGTCATGCTAGAAGAAATTTATATGCTACTCTTTACAATGTTTTCTATTATAAGAAATTGACTACCTCTTAAGAGGAAAGGTAATGATAGAACATCCCAGAGAAAAGGGAGAAATTATGTTTTAATTGTTACCAGAAAACTAAAGCCAGACCAATAAAGAAATTTAAATAAAGATGCCTAATTTTTTGCTGGTTTTTAAATTTATTTATTTATTATGTAATTTAATTATTATGTTATAGTTCAATTGGTTTGGTGCTTGTTTTAATTTTGTTCATTCATTGATGAAAACTTTGAA